AGAGCTAAAACAAGAACAAAAGATCGAGAAATGAGTTCGGTGTAGGGTTGAATAGGGCTAGAAAAGGTTTAGTTTAGGGTTGAACAGAGTCGAAGGGGACAGAGAATGGTGTAGTGGTGTTTGGTTGTTGCTGGCGAAGAAGAAACAATGATGTGACAACAAAGGAAAATTTTTGAAGGTGCTAAAATAGAGACAAATTATGGCTAGAATTTTCAAAAACCTAAAGCTCTGATACCATGAAAGTTTCTGAGGAAAAGAGAAACTATATATTCAATTGTGTGACTAATACAAAAGAATTACATCAATACTTATAGCCTAGGCTAACCCTAAAACAAAAAAAGGAAATAATTCCTAGATATTACACAAAATAATATTTGCACAATATCTCTCCAACACATCTACAGAATATACATAATATTTAGAGAATATATACAATATTCTCACAATCTCTAGAAAATCTATGTTACCTAAAGAATATCTACGCAATTCTCACATAATAATATCACCACAGTATCTCCGGAATATCTACAAAATATATATAAGGCAAAAATAGCTTAAATAAGCTAAAAAAGTTTATTATCATAAAGTTGGAGAAGGATTGATTTTAACTTTTTCTTTCTGATTATCATATTTTAGCTTGAGAAAACTTCACCAAACAAGTTGAAGAACAAGACTCAGAATAAGCTCTAGTAGAAGAGAAAAACTAGAAACATGAAGGGTAGAGGTAAACTTCTCACAAGACACATTAGCAAGAAAAGAATCAATATATACCAAGAGAAGAACAAAACATGCGAAACCAAAGACACATTAGAAAGTAATTAACAACATAACAATATATTAGAAGAGTGGGCATACAACTAAGGAAATAGACAACAATAAGAACAACTTCACCTAGAAGCATCAGGAACAAAGGAGAAAAGGAGAAGATACCAAGTTGTTTCAATGATGTACCTATGTTTTTTCTCAACTTTACTATTTTGTGTTGGAGTATCTGAGCATGAGAACCGATACACTCTTGGCGCCTAAATGTGCACACTACTAGACGAGCATTACACCCAAGTATAACATGATTATGAGTAGGCTCCACATTGAAATGACCAATTTCCGAAATTCATTACTCCTTTAAATTTATTTTCTTTTTGACCTTATTGTCTACATCACATTTACTTCATGTAGGGCAATGTTTCACTTTGAGTTAGGGATCGCCACAGGGCAAGTTTGGGGCGGGTTTGTCATCCCCTTCCCCCGCCCCCGGCCACGGGACGGGTTTGTCATCCCCCGCCCCCGTCCCAACTCCGTTACGGTTGAAAATTTTCAATCCCATCCCTGCCCCTGCAAATACCTGACCACATTTCAAATAGCCAAAAAAATTGAGAATCATTTAAATCCTTAACACACTAATAATTTCTCTTGTTTCCATATATATAAACAATGAGACTTTTAGGATTATTATTTATTTATATTTAAACAGAACTACAGACTTTTAGTATTTCTTTCTTATATTTAATTATATTATATATATACATATATTATTTATTTATATATTTTTAATTATATCAGGTCGGGTTCGGGTTTGGATCGAGGAAGGCGATACCCGCCCCTGCCCTCGCCCTACTCCCATTGTAGGTGACCAAAATATAATCCACCCCCGCCCCACATAAGTGTCAGGTCGGATAAAATCCACCCCATTCGCGCAGGTGTGGATGAGCCGCCGTGGATCGGATTAAAATGGACATCCCTACTTTGAGTCAAAGAATATCATCTATTTTTTCAAACACCAACCCATTGTTGGGTACACAATGTTGCTCCCTACAACTATTAGTGAAACTCTCCCTAATACTAATTGGTTTTAGGAGAGATAGTGGAACTCAGTCCAACAAGGAGAGAAGAAACAGGTTGTCATGGGTTTGAGTCCCATGAGCATCATCATAAGGGAGGGATTGCTGGGTACACAATCATGCTCCCTACAACCGCTCTAAAAATAGGTCTATGTCCATGATGTCAAATGCCATAAAAAACATTGTTGGGTACACAATCTTGCTCCTTGCAATTGCTCTAAAAATAGGCCAATGTCCACGATGTCGAATGCCACAAGTAAAACCCTCCCTAACTCCAATTGGTTTTATTTATCCCAAAAAAAAATTCAATTGGTTTTAGGAGCAATAGTGTAACTCGGTCTGACAAATCTCAACCTTTGTAGTGATATGGAGTTGAATTATACTAATGCAATCATTCATCTCTATCAAACTAGTTTTATACCTGTGCTATGCACGGATCACTTTTGAAATTTAACGCATGTAAATGTAGAATGAAGAAGGTTAAAGTATTGATATACACATTCACAACATGTATTATGCACCTATACCACATGATTTATTAAAGCTGTTATAGTTTGCAACTGTCCTCAATCAATTTGTAAGATATTTAATCGATAGATTGAGAGAGAGGAGAGAGATTCATGGATTAAGCAAAATAAATAAAATTTTCAATGTACCATACATAAATCAAGCAAAAAAGTGTAAAATATGTCATCTTCATTGTTAATTTGAAAGCTCGGCCCAAAAATATATATAATAATTAATTAGTTTTTAAGCATGCCAAAAGTTCATCAAACAAGCATTCTTAATTATTGGTGTCACATGGAATTTTAGTCAATATCAATTTGAGTCACTCTACACAATCTAATAAATAAGCATTCTTGTTCATCTTAACCATAAAATGATTCAGTGAGCTATTATAGACAGTGGATACAAAGTTTGACATTGGAATGAAATTATCCAAACCAAAAATACACATGACAAAATTTCTGAACTGGTATTTCACAAACTGTTACTTCACTTAAAATTGAAACCATTCTCATTTAATCCAATCAAACAATAACAAATCAGAAAAAAGTTGCATATCGGAACACAACAGATGCGTCCTAACCTAGGGACCAAGGCAATACTCCAAAAATGTGTGAATTAAGCTAAGACTTACAAACAGTACTCAGTCTAAAAAATTTATAACCTTTATCAGGTCTTTTTAAGGGAAAAAATAAAATAAAATTATAAATCAACAAAAATGACATTTGTAACAGAGAAATCATACCTTGTTTATGTTGACTGGTGCATATGAGCCACATAGCAACAAAAGTAATAACAACAAACAATAAAAAAAAAATCCCAAATTAACGAAACAAATCATTATAGAATAAAAAATGAAAATGAAAAAATAGTTACAAAAAGAATTCACCAGAGAGAGAGCATCTATGAATGAACACTAGGAAGTGTTTGGGTGTGCAACCCCTTAAACAAGGGTTATGCAAGTTTGCATAAGTTCTCACAAAAATACGCAAGTTATCTTTCAAAATCGCGTAAGCCAACCCATAAAAATTTGAGAAATCACAACTTGGCGTAAGTTTTTACAAACATACGTAAGTCACCTCACAAAATCGCGTAACTTAAACACAAATTCACGTAAGTTAACCCATAAAAATTTGAAAAATCAAAATTTGGCGTAAGTTCTCACAAACATACATAAATCACCTCACAAAATCGCGTAACTTAACACAAATTCGAGCAAGTTAATCCATAAAACATGTCGTAAGTTCTCACAAAATGTGTAACTTAAGTCACAAAAATACATAAGTAAATTGCATACCATATGCCTTACACACTCAAGAATTATCCATGTAGCAATGGAGGCTCATCTATGAATATTGAAAAATTACGCTCATGTTGGGTTTAGAAAAAGAGAAAAAATTTACGTGTTTCCCAACGAAGTTAACTATTGAGAAATCAATAGCCTCATAACATTGAGTAGCTGTTGCTTAACTTTAGCTATGACCGATGAAATCCTCCATTTCCCATGATAGCAATTTATAGTAATATTTTCCTCTCCGCAACTCTTTCACATATTACTCTCCATCAAAATATAAATAAATGTGAAAAACTAAAGGTTGCATTACATGAAGGGGAGATGCAAAATTATAAACTGTGAGAAAAGGAAGAGATGATTTAGAAGAAAATAAATAGCAAAGGACAAAAATTAAGAGACATGTTAAGTAGGACACATGGCATGCTATGAGATGAACACATGGCTCACTTCTAGACTCTCTAATGTAAAGTCACCACTTATATTGTATATGATATGACTAATCTCAACAAAATATATCAAAATATTGACCTTAATTGGTGCTATCACCCAGTTTTTCATGAATGCATTGTTACAAACTATATCCCGTCTTATACTGACAATGACCGTTCCTAGAATCCTTATCAATAACAATTTGTTTTTTATTTTTTTATAAATAGTTTGTGTTCTTAAATATCCAAATCCATTTTGATGAAGAATGGCAGCACTAAGAGAGTTGCTCTTTGAGACAAAGATGGCATTCTGAGTGAGTGAGAGAGAGAGAAAGAGAGAGAGAGAGGTTACTTGCCCCATAAAAACCTCCTAGCTGATTATCCTACTTCTTGGGAACACCAAATTTAGTATTTAGTTGAAGATTAAGTATGAGCAGGTTAGACGGGTTTCTTTAGGACATTCTCATTCCATTCAATGTTTAAACCTATCTCCAAGGCGAAGTGAGTAAACAAAGAACCATCTTGCAGCCGCCTAATTCAATCACAATGACTGAGCAAATACGCCTTGGCCTTCTCATGATCTCATCTAATAGATAATGCTAGAGAAAACAACAGAGGTAGGTACTTCAGGGCTTGGGCTGCATTAAGCCCACTGGAGTTAAAAAAAAAAAAAAAAAAAGGCAAGAGACCTAAGCACCCATAGGAGAGTAGTATAGATTTGCAGGGCAGTCGTTGCACTTCACAGGTAACACCTCAGGGAATGAGCTGTGCGTACTTCATCATCCCATGTTGCCACTACAGATAGCACCACTATCCATCACTCTAAAAGACATGTACAACTTGAATGCTATTGGGTTGTAACTTGTAAGAGTAATTTTTCCACCTCTATACACAGACAATAAATTATCTTTAGAAGGATTGTTCATCAAATACCTCGTATGTGAGTGCATCAGCCAATCCATGTATGCGATCAATGCGCACAGTCTTGCCAAAGAGCTTAGAAAAGGTGGGATCACCATGCAGAGACTCCAGTGCGACACTGATGCTGCATCCATCCTCCCCTAGTGAGTTGACAAACCCTTGCATGCAAGAAGTTGCTCCAGCACCCCTCTTATCACATGTTCTTACACAAACCATGTCTCCAGGAGAAAGTGTAGTGGGCGGTAACCTGTGATTTCCCTCTACCCTGAACAGTACCAAATGCATTCCACCTAATCCTGTACGCAAAACTTGTGTCTTTAGATATTTAATTTAACTATTAGACTGGACTGACCACAAAAGGGGACAAACAATTCCGAAGAAGATTATATGTTTGGTATGTCATGTAGAGCCATCAATTTTCAAGTTTGAAAGCAGATTAGTTACATGACCTGTAAATGTGCTAACTGCATTCAAATTGCAGATGGTATCACAGAGTTCTTGCTCAGCCTGGCCATGGCTAACCAAGAATTCAATTGGCTTTGTTGAATCTGTACTCTTGTCAGGTGTAGGAACCGCGTTCAACTCTTCCTGAGTAAACTCCAACTCAGCATCCCTTTCTATTCGAAGTAGATCTGACATCCACTTTGTAAAATCATCAATCCTGCTCTGAATAGCTTTAGCCTTCTCCATGTCCATCCCTAAACCATGGTGTACAGTCTTTGTCTGTGAAATCTTCCGTGCAATGGCTCTATGCTGAGCTGTAAATGCACCATGTGCAACCAAGCCTTAGGTAGAGCTCAATACATGTATATATGTATATATATATATATATATATATAAATATTAGTGGTTAGCACAAGCGACGTTCAATTCAAATAAGTAAAAACAAAACAAAAAAATGGTAACACTATTCCTCCTCAAACTTAAGGTTTAATTTCAAGTCTTCCCACCCTCAAATATAGCATAAAGAGAGACAAAGGCTTCAGGCTTTGGTTTATATAATAGTATAGATAGTATAAGCAGACTGGACTAGAAAAAATTAGAGAGAACCTGAATGGGCGAGTTCTTTGAGCAGCTTCCACGATTCAGCATCGCGCCAATCGTGGATCAACGATTTGTTCTGGAGGTCCTGGAGGACGTCTCTCAACTCCCTCTGGAAGTGGTCAAAGAGAGTGGGATAATGGGTGCAGGCCTTCAAGCAGACGGATTCAAGGCCAAGGGGCATGGGGACAGCAGCGAGGTAAGGCTGAGCCTGGATTACGAAAGTGAGACCCGGCCCCATTCGCTGTCTGACCTCAGAAAACTCCCCTTGAACCTCCGCTAGAGCGAAATCCGATGCCATGGCTTTCATCCCCTGGCATATCCACATCACAACGCATTTCCCCAAATCCCTTCGCCCCAGTGGGTCTCCATTCTGATACAGACCACGCACGTTTACTGTCCTGTTTTTGTTCACCTCTGTGGCTGGCTGTGACTGCTTCTGCTTTTGCTTCTGCTCCTGCTTCTGCTTCTGCTGCTGCTTGGTAGATGCAGCCGTAAAAATGTTGCTGCTGGAGGTACTGGTCTTGAGGTTCCTGTTGGAAGAAGCAGCACTGCTAATTCTGGTCTTGAGGTCCCTTTTTCTTGTGGCTGTGGTCGTTGTTGTCTTGGTGCCATATTGTTGGAATCGGAATGTGGTTGAGAGAGTATAATCACAAAAGAAGCTTCGATGATTGTCACTGCCGAACAAGGAAATGGACCTAAAAGAAGAAGGACTGGACCTGGACCTGGACCTGGACGCATGATTATGATGATGCCGACGGAGATTCAGGCTTGGTGAGTTAAGAGCCAAGGTCGAGATACCACCGCAGAGAAAGCACGATCCTTCCATTTCAGTCCAACCTTGCAGGCTTGGAGCTTTAGGCCTCCCCTCATCCAACTTCGATTCACCGAATATGCACCCGCACCTCCGCCTCCACTATGCAGAATCCATCTTGTCTGCTTCCGAACGAAAGAAGGCCACTTACGAAACGGGAGATCCTAATTCGTTTTATGATTGGGGGTTTACGATTTTTTCCTACTTTTTTGTTCTTGTTTGGGTGACGTGTTTAATTGCTGTTCGTTTCTTCTATGCAGCGAACACGTTTTTGTTTGTGGTGCACACAGGCCAAACTGGGAACCAAATTACAAGTTGCAAACGTCTTGATTACAAGTTGCAAATGTTTTGGGATTGTTGGGCGTGGTTTGTAAGTTTTATTCAGAGTCAGTTAGACTGGGTTAGATTAGTGCATTTTCAACGATGCATTTTTTTTCATTCCACTTGAGTAAAAAATTAATTTAATATGAAGCGTTTAAATGGAAGATTTTGAACTTTTATCAAAATATCGGTCGATTGGTCAGTATATTTTTTTCATAAATTTTTGTCTAAAGGTGGTGTTAGTAAACATTATGATAACTTCCAATCGACAGGAATTAAACAATAATTTTAACTAAACAATCAAATAAGAACAATCAAACAATTGTAGAATTTGTTCAAATGTCTCAAAAGAATGAGGACTTTTTTGGAACAACTGAAAGTTACAAACCAAACAAGTAATTCTAAGTTGAAACTACTACAGTTTACAAAAAGTTTACAAGGTTACGAATTATGGAAGAAACTACTCCTAAACTAAGAAAGCTACTCCTAGATTATCCTAAGTCTAAACTAGTTCTTTGTGTTGTTGATGATGTCCTCTCTCTCTCTGCAAATTTTTTACCTTTATACTTCTCATTTCTCACGCCCTCATGATCTTCTCAATCTACAACTGCTGCTGTGTGACTGCTGCAACTGCTTCCTAGCTACTAGGCCTTCCAATCACCTTAGACCTTCATTTCAGTCAGTCGAACTACCCCTTCTTCGAGTTATCACGTGCCTACAAGCCTTTCTAACCTTCTCTCGACAGAGTGGGAGTTGTGCAGCCGTAATTGTTGACTTTTGGTGAATAGTGACAACTTTTTAACTTTTTGAGTAACTTTTTGGCTTTTTGGCTTTTTGGAGACTCCCCAAACTTGGCCTTAGACTGGGTTAGATTAGAGCATTTTCAACGATGCATTTTTTTTCATTCCACTTAGTAAAAATTTAATTTAATATGAAGTGTTTAAATGGAAGATTTTGAACTTTTATCAAAATATCGGTCGATTGGCCAGTGTACTTTTTTCATAAATTTTTGTCTAAAAGTGGTGTTAGTAAACATTATGATAACTTCCAATCGACAGGAATTAAATAATAATTTTAACTAAACAATCAAATAAGAACAATCAAACAATTGTAGAATTTGTTCAAATGTCTCAAAAGAATGAGGACTTCTTTGGAACAACTGAAAGTTACAAACCAAACAAGTAATTCTAAGTTGAAACTACTAAAGTTCACAAAAAGTTTATAAGGTTACGAATTATGGAAGAAACTACTCCTAAACTAAGAAAGCTACTCCTAGATTATCCTAAGGTCTAGTTTGGGAAGACTAAATAAGTGTACTTTTTGACTTTTTATGAAATATGGGTTGGGTTTGGGTTGGGTTTGAAGTGATGTGTTAGAGAGGTGATGTGACTTAAATAAGATGATGTGACTTAAATAGGATAGTGATTTTTTGACTTTTTATCTTTTTTCAATCATGTCAAACTTGGCCTAAGTCTAAACTAGTTCTTTGTGTTGTTGATGATGTCCTCTCTCTCTGCAAATTTTTTACCTTTATACTTCTCATTTCTCACGCCCTCATGATCTCCTCAATCTACAACTGCTGCTGTGTGACTGCTACAACTGCTTCCTGGCTACTAGGCCTTCCAATCACCTTAGACCTTCATTTCAGTCAGTCGAACTACCCCTTCTTCGAGTTATCACGTGCCTACAAGCCTTTCTAACCTTCTCTCGACAGAGAAAGACTCCCACTTGAAGGACTACCCACTAAGTCCATACTTCCTCTTGAAGTACTGCCCACTGAGTCCATGATCACTGCTAGTAACTGCTCCATCACCAGCACTGTTTAATGCACATTTATCAATCTCTCTCATATCGCTTACCCTCTTTCACAACTGTTGAATCATCACTTGATTTTGCCACATGTTGTATCCTAACTGGTCCACTTGTCGACAGGAACCAGCAAAAATGGGCACGAACAATGCCCCCCTGTTTAAATTGAATAAATATGAAGTGTTTTCCACTTAAACAAAATTGCTTATTTGGGCCAAAAATAAAGACTTACTCTGCCTTTATATGAAATGTATTGCCTTGTATACATTTATCAACTTCCTTTAAAAGTCTCCCACATGGTTGGATAATATCTCTTAAGATACTTCACATTTATATTCCTCCTATGTGGCTGCCTCTTCAAAGATTTCAATTGATATACACCTCCCTTAAGGACCTTATGGACCCTAAGGGGGCCTTCCCAATTTGGTGACCACTTGCCAAACTCAGGATCTTTTATTCCCAATAGCAAGATAGTTTTCCACACTAAATCAACTTCCCCAAAAAGTTTTAACTTGACCTTCTTGTTATAAACTCTCTCAACCTTCTTTTTCTGAGCCATCATACAATCAAAGGCATAAATCCTTTTGCACTTTACATCTTGCAACTTTATAAACATGGCCTCTACATACTCATCGACAGGAATATCATAATGCTTAGCTACCCTACTAGGCTTTACTATCACCTCTAAGGGTAGAACTGCAGCATGACCATAAACTAACTCATAAGGATATGCTTGAATGCTATCCCTCTTTAAATTCCTGTAGGCCCACAAAACCTCAGATAATAAGTCATGTCAATCCCTTAGATTGTCTCCTATCACTTTACTTAGTATCACTTTACTTAGTGTCACTTTGATTGTTTTGTTTGATGACTCTGCTTGCCTATTTGCTTGGGCATAATATGGAGATGAGTTCAACATTTGAATGTCATACTCTTTGGCAAACCCCATCACTTCATCACCATTAAACACTTTCCCTTAATCGACAGTAATTGTTTGTAGCAAGACAAACTTATGCACTATGTGCTTTTTGATAAAATCACCACTTTTAATGGGACTGCTTCTACCCACTTAGTAAAATAATATGTAGCCACTAATATGAATGCATGTTGTTTTGAGGATGGTGAAAATATCTGGCTAATTAAATCCATTGCCCAACCCCTAAATGGACAAGGTTTGACAATTGAGTGCAAATCCCTACTTGAAACTTTTTGCACATGACCATGCCTTTGGCACTGCTAGTACCCCTTTGCATAATCAATGCAATCTTTCCTTATAGAGGGCCAAAAATACCTATGCCTTTTGATCAGCTATCTCATCTTCTCTCCTGCTTTATGAGCACCACAAATACCCTTATGGACTTCTGCCATGACCTGCATCTGTTCTAATCCTCCAATACATAGCAATGTCAACCCATCTTGGGTTCTTCTGAACAAGTCATCTCCTATAATTACATAATTCATAGCCTGATACTTTATCCTTTTATCCACTTTTGTTTCTGGGTCACTCAAATACTTGATCAGAGGTGACCTCCAATCATCCTCTAACACCTATTGATATTGACAAGCCTTGCAATTGTCGACACCTAACACAAGGCATTATCCTCTTCTGAATCTTAACTATCCTTTCTTGGAAACCCTTTGGAATTCTCAAACCAGAGGCTGTCTGGGTCATCTTGTTGGCCTTCTTATTCTCAAGTCTAAACATGTGTTCAAACTTTACTATCTCAAATTCTTTGACCACACTACAACATATAAGAGTTTTAGAGGCCAAATGTTTTGATCTCTAAAAGTGAAAATTTTGTTGCAAAAGACATTTAGCGACCAATTTCTATCATCCTGAGGATAGTCACTAAAGGTTGTCCCGAAAAATCAAAAACAAGGCTTTGAGGGACAAAATGTTAAAAATATCACTAATAAATAAACTTTTATGGACAAAATATTTGGTCTCAAAATAATTTATTTTTTGAGATAAAAAATTTGGTCCGAAAAGAATAATAATTCATCACTAATGTCTAATTTTCGTTGCTAAAAATATAATAACGACACTTTTTGTAACAAAAATATTTGGTCCATAAAAATAATTTTACCCTTAAATTTTGGTCTCCAAAACCTTAATTTTTTGTAGTGCCAACTGCAACACTTGTTCTAAATACTCTCCAAGCACTGCATTATTTCACTTATATTGGCCTATCACCTGCCTTATCACCAACTGTGAATCCCCAAACACTTTCAAGTATGGAATTCTCAGACTCCTTGCCAACTCCAAACCAATAATCAAGGCTTCATACTCTTGATTATTTGACAATACTTGAGTCTCATCCAACTAGAAAGAAAACTGAAACATCTGTCCTTGGGGTGAAACCAACACCACCCCAGCACCAACACCCTTTTCAGTCTTTGAGCCATCAAAAATTAATCTCCATGGCATTCTTTCAACTGAGAATACTTCATATAAATTTGCCTCGACAAGGCTACATGGGTGCTCTGCCAAAAAATCTGCTAATGGCTGGCTTTTCACAGCTTTTTGAGGTACATACTTGAAGCAATATTCAATTAAGGCCAATAACCATTTTCCCTGTCTTCCTCTTTAAATTGGCCTTGACAACATGTATTTTATTACATCAATCTGAGCAATCACATTAACCTCTATAGGTAGCATGTAATGCCTCAATTTGATGGCTGCAAAATAAAAGGCAAAACAAAACTTTTCAACAGAGATGTACCTAGTCTCTGCCTCATTCAATTTCCTACTTAAGTAATACACAGCTTGCTCACAACCCTCCTAATTATCCTGAGCCAATAAACAACCAATCGACTATTCTCCTACTGAAATATATAGCTTTAACGGGTGGCATCAAGACTGGAGGTTTAAACAAATAGTCTTTAATTGCATCAAATGTTCTTTGATGCTCACTTTCCCATCTAAAATCTTTATCAGATCTTAATTTTAACAAAGGAGAAAAAAAATAAAGTTTTCTCTGCCAAATTGGCAATGAATCTCCTTAAAAAATTTATCTTGGGTTGCTTTAATAGCTTTAGCCTTATTTATGTCCACCTCTATC